TGTGAATATTCACTCAAATAAATACAAAATATAATAAAATAAACATTAAGGTGCAGCTTTTCGATGAACTGAAATAATCTGTATTTGAACTGTACTGTACCTGAGCAGCCAGTTTGACATTAGGACTTGCTGGTCATTGTATTTTCATGTTTTTTTAAAGAAAAATGAACTTGTCCACATTGCTTGCTGAAAGGGCAGATCTGCTGTCTCCTGCTGTGGAGAACACCCTCTCTAGGGACAGAGGTAGCAGATCAGGGCTCGACATTAAGGACTGCCCGATGGCCCAGGGCCATCTAGTATTTAGCTCGGGCAATGAAGCCTCACCTGCTGGTTGCCCGATCGGGCAATCTATTATGCCAGTATCATGCAGCTGGCGGATCCAGTAATGAGTGACCCGACAGTAAAACTAAACATATCTGCCCTTCCTACATCCAGGACATGGTTAAACCGTACACCCCAGCGCGTGCACTACGCTCTGCATCAGCCAAACGACTCGCTGCGCCCTCGCTGCGAGGGGGACCCAAGTTCCCATCGGCAAAAACACGTGGGTTTGCTGTCCTGGCTCCAAGATGGTGGAATGAGCTTCCCATTGACATCAGGACGGCAGATAGCTTGCACATCTTCCGGCGCAAACTGAAAACTCATCTCTTTCGACTCCACTTCGAGCGTTAGAACTATTAACGAAGCACTTTTATACTAATAAAGGACTGGCTTACCTAAAGCCAGTTGAGTAGCACTTGAAATGTTTGGCTCTATGAAACCTGATGTACTTATATGATTCTGTTTTCTTCAAGGTTGTGTCTTCCTGGTCGAATGTACTTATTGTAAGTCGCTTTGGACAAAAGCGTCAGCTAAATGCAATGTAATGTAATAATGTAATCTATAACTAGTTCAGGTAGTTTGAGAGGTCATTAAAATAGCTACGTGTGATATTCTAACCTGAAGTGTGTGTTTTGTTCCACTCACCGCTGCAGGTGATTATGCAGAGCTGCGTATTGACTCGTCAGCAGCAGCGGATCTCTCTCTCCCGTCAGATTAGACTCGCGTTTATGTCCATATCGATCAGATCCAGCTAGTTCTAGCTAATGATAGGACTACCTGCTTATTAAAAGACACCTGAACAATAAGTGTCGCTATGCAACTGGGTGAGGCCGCAAAGTATAGCGCAGCATTATGCATTTGTTTACATGCCCACCGGAACCCCGAGGCATTACCAACAGATCAACGCACAATCAACCCACACAGGACATCTCTTTCTCCACATTAAGTGTTAGACATTAGAATTGACTATTCTTGTCTGTCACATACTCTTCTTGTCTGTCACATAAATGGCGCAACTGAAGCGGTATTGCGCTAAAAGGGAAATTATTTTGACCGAAGAGATTTAGATTTGCCGGCTAACGGGAACTCTGACGTCGCCATTTTGTGTGCTTGGCGGATGCGCTCGGCTCCTCTCGACTGCTGCTCGGGTCTGCTCGGTCAGCTTCCGGATGAGGAGGCATTCGTTCGACCAACTTACAGTAGATAACATTACAAACATTTTTAACAGGAGCCATAATAGTGTAAATAATGTTTGTTTTGGCAGTTACAACTGAATGTAATGTTTTCTACTTTTTTACATCTGGGAAGGCATTTGCCTTCATCAGATGGAAAGTGTCTTGACCAACAACTTAAGTATTTCTTAAAGCTATGCAGGGCATGCAAGTGAGCAAACACAAACAAGAACAAACAAACAAGTGAAATTAAGAATAAAATTGAACAATATAATATTGTGGTGGTTCATCTTATAATTCAGTCTAGAGAACCAGACAGCATCTAAGTCCTGCAAAAATCTAGATGTTCTAGGGGAGGCCCCCCCAAACCCTTCGTGCGTCATTTCGTCCAAGCGCATTTTTCAGGCCAATCTCTATTGGGCTCAGGGCCATCTGTAAATTAGCTTAGATGGCCCACAGGGCCAAAATCCTTAATGTCATGCACTGCAGATACAGAGGATCAGTACCTCCAAATCTGAGGCCATGGTTCTCAGCAGGAAACCGATGGACTGTCCACTCCAAGTAGGGAATGAGTCCTTACCCCAAGTGAAGGAGTTCAAGTATCTCGGGGTCTTGTTCTCGAGTGAGGGAACAATGGAGCGTGAGATGGGCCGGAGAATCGGAGCAGCGGGAGCGGGTACTGCAGTCGCTTTACCGCACCGTTGTGACGAAAAGGGAGCTGAGCCAGAAGGCAAAGCTCTCTGTCTTCCGGGCCATTTTCGTTCCTACCCTCACCTATGGTCATGAAGGATGGGTCATGACCGAAAGAACGAGATCGCGGATACAAGCGGCCGAGATGGGTTTTCTCCGCAGGGTGGCTGGTGTCTCCCTTAGGGATAAGGTGAGAAGTTCGGTCATCAGGGAGGGACTCGGAGTTGAGCCGCTCCTCCTTCGCGTCGAAAGGAGCCAGTTGAGGTGGTTCGGGCACCTAGTTAGGATGCCACCTGGGCGCCTCCCTAGGGAGGTGTTCCAGGCACGTCCAGCTGGGAAGAGACCAAGGGGTAGACCTAGGACCAGGTGGAGGGATTATATCTCTTCGCTGGCCTGGGAGCGAAAGTTTGGGGCTCTCTGCTGGAACTGCTACCCCCGCGACCCGACCACGGATAAGCGGGAGAAGATGGATGGATGGATGGACTGCAGATACAGCCAGGTAGCGCTTTGCTAACATGGCAACATAAGGATATTTGGCGTTTGTAATAGCTTTGGCTCGGTCTGAACTTTTTGTGAGTGGTGGAGGCTTACATGCTAGCGGGAGTTGGGTTTGCACTTCAGTCATTTTTCTTTTGGTACCGGTGATATTCACGTTCGGGTGATGCCTTTTCAAATGAGTGTGCAAGTTTGATGTATTGCCAGCCGCGTAACCAATGTTAGTTGAACAATGCTGACAAACAGCTTTGGTTCGGTCCACCTGTCTTTGTCCGTCATCCTTGTACGTAACTGCGAAACCAAAATGTTCCCAAACCGGAGACTTCAATGATGCTGGAGGATTTTCGAGCTCAACTTTATCTGCGTTCGCCATTTCGACAGTTCCTCAAATTACTGACTACATTTGAACGCATCCCTGTGACTAGGGATGCTCTGATCGATCGGTCACCGATCGAGATCGGCCGATACTCACTCTCTACCGATCGATCGGTGCTCTCTAAACATGCCGATCGCGAGAGCTGATCGCATGTTACATGATACATGACAATTTTCTCTGCGCGGCAAAACAAGCTCACCAAAATGGCTTCACCGGTCTGGCAGTATTTTAAGGTGTCCGAAAAAGACTGTAAAATAGCGGTATGCAACGTGTGTCAAGCAGAAATCCTGCAGCTCCACCCCCGGGCCGGTGAGCGGAACACACAAGAGTTATACCTAACACACTTAGCTATTTGATCTACCTCTGGAACAAGCTAAACTAGTTATTATAAATATATTTATTCTTCACTGTCGGGTCACTCATTACTGGATCAGTGAGCTGTATGAGATACTGACAGGCTGTCAGGAGAGAGAGAGGGGAGAGAGAGAGGGGGGAGAGAGAGAGGGAGAGAGAGAGAGAGAGAGAGAGGAAAAGAGAGCGCTTCCGCTCATTTCTCCCGTGTTATTATCCAAAGTGAATGTAAACTTGAATAATGTACATCATTTGAATGTAATAATTAAGTTGATTGTTGTTTGTGGAAGCTCCAGTGAATGAGCCCCATTAACTGAGTTTAAACATCACTTTAAATGGAAGATTAAAAGTGATGTTTAAATCTTCCATTTAGGCCCCGCCCACTCGATCGGATCGGCGATCGGTATCGGCCGATACTGATTCCAGGGATCGGCCCCGAAATTGGCGATCGGAGCATCCCTACCTGTGACCAGCTCTCATAGCATGCCTCTCGTCCAATGAAATGACTTGCTCGCTCTATGACGCGTTGAACCCAATGTGAGCACATTACTCTGAACGCTGCGACGCAGCACCTGAGATTACTTCCAAGAAGTTGTTCACGTTCTCAATTTTTTACGTTTAACGTTATATTCGTTCGGTACACTTCGGTTCACACGTGTACCGAACCGAAGGGCCCGTGTACCGGGTACGTGTACCGTTACACCCCTAGTAGAAACGTTAGCGAAAACAAATGACGTATGATGGTGCCAGAGTAGGGAGGGACTTCCACAGGTCGGCAGAATGCTGATTGGAGGATCGTGTTGCCAAGAGACTCTATCTGAGTCTGCGCACCAACCAAAGAGAACCAAGTCTAAACCGCGGTATCTCTTCAGCTAGTCTTGACCAATCATAAATGTACGGGCAACGCCCTGTGTAATCAAATGTATGCACGCACGAGGTTCGAGGCTCTTTAGGGATATGGTGGTTACAGATTACAGCTTTGCTGCCTGTGATTTCTATGACGTGACGGAGTCCTTGGCCAAGTGAATATAAGTATTTTGCTCTCATAATAAATAGTTAAACTTAGAAGTCGTCTGTCTTTCCTGGAATTTTGAACACAACACGCAGGCAGACTAGGGATGCACGATATTGTTTTTTTTAAACCGATACCGATAACTTCCTGCTTCTCAAGACCGATACCGATAACCGATAATAATATAATATATATTAAATGTACCTGTAGTTTTTGCACACCTCAGTTCAAAAATCATCCACACAAGGAAAAGGTTGACCTTTTGAAGATAAATGGTTATTGTTTTGGATGTTTGATGAGGGGTCATATGAGCAGGAACTGTAGGAAAAGGCTGACATGTCAAAAGTGTCAAAAGAGTCACCCAACAATACTTCACATTGACAGTCCACTTCTACAAAAGCCTCCCCCTACTGAAACAAAAGGAGCTTGGGTCAACAGTGCACTTGTCTCGGCTGGTGAAGCAACTGGGGCCGGTAGGGATTGTGCCCTAGCCATAGTGCCTGTTCGAGTCAAGGTTCACAAAGGAGATAAGTTTATCTCAACCTACGCTTTTCTTGATCCCGGCAGTTCAGTGTCATTCTGCACAGAGAATCTAATGAGACAGCTGAATCCCAAAGCACGAAAAACGACAGTCGTTCTACGAACAATGGGTCAGGAACGACTTGTAAAGAGTTACGAACTCAAAGGATTGGAGATAGGACATTTAGATGGCAGTACTTACATTGACCTACCTCAGGTGTACACACAGAGTAAGATTCCTGTCTCAAAAGAAAATGTACCTACCCAAAAGGATCTGGAAAGATGGCCTTATCTAAGTGACATACAGCTGAGAGAAATTGATGCTGACATAGAGCTTCTAACAGGAGTTGATGTTCCTAAGGCAATGGAACCTTGGGACATAATAAGAAGTCAAGGAAATGGACCATATGCAGTCAGGACACTGTTTGGATGGGTGGTGAATGGACCACTCAACGCTTGTACTGCTGTGGAATCCGGACCTGTGGTCACAATGGTCAACAGAACATCAGTAGCCAACCTGAATGATCTCCTCATCACACAATACAATCAGGACTTCTCGGAAAAAGATTATGAAGAGAAGAAGGAAATGTCAGGTGAAGACAAAAGGTTCATGGAGATAGCATCAAGCTCAGTAGAACTCAAGGATGGACATTATCACCTACCCTTGCCTTTTCGAAAAAAGGACCTGTCTCAGGAGAAGCAGTGGAGGCATGTGAGCTCCATAGACAACCCTGCCGACGACGCGTCCGTGGGCTGCATGTAGAAGACTTTCTAAAGACATCAAGGTGGATAACAGGACCTAAGTATCTGGAAAAGCAAAAGGAGCCATGGCCAAAAACACCTAAGAACCTGGGCCTTATTCCATCAGAGGACCCAGAGGTTAGAAAGGACGTAGCAGTTAACAGTTTGAGTGTCCACGAAACCAACCCAACCAGCAAACTGTTTGAGTATTACTCATCATGGAGCAGACTGCAGAGAGGGGTTGCTTGGATACTTAAATTAAGGGGAATTCTTCTTCTGCTAAATCAAAGAAGGAAATCTGCAAAGGCTGACCTTGCCCCAGATGGGACTCTTTTGAAATCCTTAAAGGACAAAATGAACAAGCTAAAGTTGACATTTGGATCACAACATCTGTCTGTGGAGGACATTAGAGAAGCTGAAAGGTCAATAATTCACTCCGAGCAAAGACGTCACTTCTCTCAGGAACTTGCACTTTTGGAGAAGGGAAGGCAAGTAAGAGCAAGCAGCTCTATCAGGAAGCTGGACCCAATCTTAGTTGAAGGCATGCTAAGAGTGGGAGGACGAATTAGCAAATCAGCAATGCCAATGGATCTGAAGAACCCCATTATCCTGCCCAGAGACTCTACTGTATCCAAACTGATCCTGGGCCACATCCATCAGCAGATTGGACACTCGGGGAGAAGCCACATGCTCTCAAGACTAAATCAAAGATTCTGATTGCCTCGTGCTAACTCGGCAGCCAGAAAGATAATCAGAGCCTGTGTTTTCTGCCGAAGAATGCTAGCCACAGTTGGAGAGCAGAAAATGGCTGACCTCCCAGAGGATCGGGTGTCTCCAGATCTACCACCTTTTACTCATGTTGGTATCGACTTCTTTGGACCCCTGGAGGTTAAACGAGGCAGAGCAAATGTAAAACGTTGGGGAGTGATCTTCACCTGCCTTGTGAGTCGTGCCATACATCTGGAAGTTTCTAGCTCATTGGACACTGACTCCTGCATCAATGCTTTGCGCAGATTCATATGTCGCAGAGGGCAGGTGACAAGCATCAGGACCGACAACAGCACAAACTTTGTGGGAGCACAGAAAGAGCTAAGAGCTGCTCTTAAAGACCTGAATCAACACAAGATTCAAAATGCATTACTCGGGGACGGAGTAAATGGACTTTTAATCCGCCATATGGAGCCCACCATGGTGGAGTTTGGGAGAGGCTCATCAGACCTGTAAAAAAGATTCTGTGTTCCGTTCTAAAAGAACAGAGATTGGATGATGAGACTCTACAGACAGCTTTGTGCGAAGTTGAGAGCATCATGAATGACAGACCATTGACTACAGTTTCAAGTGACCCAAACGATTTCGAACCCCTCACGCCAAATCACCTCCTTCTGCTAAAGACAAAACCAATTATGCCACCTGGACTCTTTCACAAGGAGGACTTGTACTCACGGAGGAGATGGAGACAGGCACAATACCTCGCAGATCTCTTCTGGAGGAGATGGATACGAGAATATCTCCCAATCATGCAACAGCGAGTCAAATGGCACAACCCCAAACGGAACCAAAGCCCCAATGATCTCGTCATCATCGCGGATAACACTGCACCAAGAAATTCCTGGCAACTGGGCCGGGTGATAAAGACACTGTCAGGGTCCAAAGGGCTTGTCCGAAGTGTCTTGGTGAAAACCAAGGGTAGCATCTTACAGCGACCAATTGACAAGCTCTGTCTGCTCCTGGAAGCAGTTGATTGAACACAAGGTGTCATGTGCTAGTAACCTCTGACACCCAGTATCCACACACACACACACACACACACACACACACACACACACACACACACACACACACACACACACACACACACACACACACACACACACACACACACACACACACACACACACACACACACACACACACACACACACACACACACACACACACACACACACACACACACACACACACACACACACACACACACACACACACACACACGCCCCCCCCCCCCCCCCCCCTTTTCCTCTTGAACTCATGCAAACACACCTAACACAAACATTGGACTGTGAACTATGACAATTATTGTATATTGGTGACAGTTACATTTTGAGTAACTGCTTGTTTTTTGGCTCTATTATAATGTATTAATTGTTTTGCTACTGCGTCAACAATTAGGGGCCGGTGTGTTAGAGCCACAACGTTATTATTTCAATTCATAATTTGATAAATGATTTAATGATGGAAAATGATTTATATTGCCATGGTGAATATGTTTTGAGGAAATGATTGTTAATTTTATATCGTAAATATGATCTGTTTCCTTGTACCTTCCGGTGTGTATTTAAGTGAGGTAATTGAGGACAGCCGGCGTGCTCGGAGACCTGATGAGACGGGGAGCGGAACAGTTTTTCGACCGCAAATTGTAAACAGAGATTAGTGTTACAAATTGGACTGCAAAGTATAGTTTATATAGGAACGCATACCGCCGAAATATTGATTTAGATTTGTTATTTTGAGACTATTTAAGTCAATACTTTTTTGTTAATAAATTACATTTTTTGACTGAAAACCTTCGGCTGCTTATTGTCTTGGATTGCGTGTCGTCAACCCCGCTCTATAGTGGCAAAAGGAAACCTTGGATGCCATTACAGCTGGAGTTAAATCAAATCTCAGATTTGCCTTCTTAATAGTTTGTTTGGGTTCCTCACTTCTGTTTCGCTTCTCATGCACTGATTCGCTAGCTGAACGGCCAATCAGAGTGATTTATTTTGCAGACAGCCTTTGGCCGATTGACCACCGATTCAACGTTCATGTCGAATCGGTGGGTTTTCGCCCGAAAAGGCGTCGGCACGGCTGAAAAGACACAACTGTGCGGGACACACCAATCTGAGTAGGGCGTGTCGATGCTCATCGTTGGCCTGACGCCCACCGACGGCCAAAATCGGCTTGGTGTGTCCGGGCCTTTAGATCATCAAACTTAGCTATTTTAATTACCTCTCAAACTACCTAAACTAGTCATAGTTATGTTTATTTTTACTGTCGGGTCACTCATTACTGGATCAGCCAGCTGCATGAGACGGATACTGACGAGCTGTCAGAAGAGGGGGAGGAAAGTCTCTGTGTATTCTTATATTATTACAGAGTATATACAGGACTCCTAAAGTCAAATGTAATACCTTTTAACCAGTTAAGCCCTGAGCCTGTTTTTCAGGTTTCAGGCTCGAAAATGCCACTAACACAACAAATGATATATCTTCACTTCTAAAAGGGGTAAATTAATAATTATTTTTCTCAAAGCAAGGTTACATCTGTGAGTTGGATGTAGAAGTGTCAGAATCAATATAGATGTTTTTATTTTAAAGTAAATTCAGATGGAACATAGTAAAAACATGTAAATTCTAATGTCCACCTAAAATAAACCCTTTACTTATAGTGAAAACCACCCTTGCATGATGGGTTAGTAGACTAAAAGCTTTAGGAATCCAAACTATAACATATAATAAGTACCCTGTATCAAGATTGATGCAAAACAAGTTAAATTTGACCTTTTTAGAGAGATTTAGAAAAATAAAGTCTAAGCGGACTCACCTCTGGGTAATTTGGGAACCATCGGTTCCATTTGAACTTTTTCACTGAAAAAATCATTTTATTACTTTGAATTATCACTATAGGTATTCATACCATCCAAATACAACTATTGTGAAATTTTTTAAAAAATAAAATAAAATAAAACATAACATAGGCCTACTCTTACAGTGAGCCTCTGAATTAGCCCCGAGCGAAAAATCCTAACCTATTACAGCACCGAAAATCACTCCTCGCTCCCTTATTACTTATCCTAGCTGCACATCCAACACATTGTTTATGATCGCAAGGAGACACAGAATCTAACGGTGCCCACCTGAACAGCCCAACACTGAAAGATACAAACTCGCAACGTTATCAACAAAAACGTACATCAAAACAAATGGCGCTAGCGCTAATGCGCTAGGCTAACAATGACTTACCTTCCTCGTTGTCTGGTCTAAACTGGTCTTCAATGGCATTAAAACGATAAAAACGATGATGTAGTTAATCCATAGATTAATATCCAATGGGGCTGTGTCCCCTTTGAAATGTTCTGATAATCTATAAGCAATAAAACTGCAATTCCGTTATCTGCTGTCCGCTCTGTGCTCCGTGCGCTCTGGGTCCTGCTGCAATACCTGCTTCTTTACGCTGTAAACAATAAATGAAGTGGGCTGCGTAATGTACTTAAGTTGGCTGCCATTCTTTATAATTTGCGCAGGACCATATCTCTGGAACCCATTGGTCGATTCGTGTGATTTACACCTTTTTCTTAACCATCAGAACCAATAGAATCGATGGGCAGTTCCCAAATCTACGTAAACATTACCATAGCGGACGTAATAGAGAAGCAAACGAAGCATATCTAAAAGTGCAAGCCTGGACGGCAATACTTTATACCGAGTATATTGCCATAAATATGATGATTGATTATCAGTAAAAAATTATACGTGACACAAAGACATTGGATTAACCTTGAGATGCGTTTTTATTCCGTTGAACACAACTTTTGATCACAAATCAAAAAAGGTAAGACGTAATTATTGTAATATTTTTGAAACCGGATGTTGTTTACTTTCTCTTTTCTGGCTGATAGCTCCAGGAATTCGAGGTCGGACAGTGATGACATTACATGTGTGGAATCTGTGGAGTCTCAGCTTTAAATCGTATATCTTGTTTGTGCAGTTAAGATAGTAATAAGGGCATTTCTACCGTGTGTTGTGTGTAAAAAAGCGTTAGCATTAGTTAGCATTTTTTCGCTCAATGCTAATTCAAAGGCTTGGTATTACTCTTGTGTTTTTTTTAGCTAACAATTGTTCTTATTGTCAGTTAGCGGAGTTTCTTACCTTTAAAAGGGTATGAAACATTAATAGTTTCATAAATGTTAAGAAGCCCTGAGACATGTGAGAAAAAAAAAACTGTGGGAGGGGTCCACTGGGGGGACCTTCGGGCTTAACTGGTTAAGACCCTTGCCGTACATTTTAAGACCTCATCGCCACTTCGAGTTTTAACCGGTTACATTGGCGACACACTTCACCTCACATTTACTATATACAGCAGGGCTTCTCAAACTCCGGACCGAACCCTGTGTCCCATTATAAAAAAATAAAATTATACAAAATAAAAACTTTCTGATTCTGATGTAAATTAATGTATATTTTCTTGTGTCTGACGCGTTGTGAGAATGAACGTGCATATATATTTACTTGTGTGCGCGAGCGTGACACGCATTGCAGACCGCAAAATAACCGCAAGTTTACCTTGACTTTCTAATGCCTTTTTTGCCGAGGTTCAAGGCATTGGCTACAGACAAACAGTGCCATGTCTCCCACTAGTTCAAGCCATCATACTGTATGTATGTATTGAATGTGTGTGTGTGTGTATACAGGGGTGCCGTTTGCCGACAGGCAAAGCAGGAAAGTGCTTGGATCAGAAGGGGGCCCCCAAAGAAGGTAGATTAAGGTCCACACTAACGACAACATGAAACACCCTTTAATTTACTGCAACAACATGTCAGGAAACCCCCTCAAGGCGGCCCCATGCATAGCGCGCCGTAAGAGAGGCTTCTTAATTTCAGTTTCGTTGCTCCGCTCCGGGGGGGGGGACTTTACTGGCATTTATCCGGACCAGTGACCTTTAAGTGGACCTTTAATAAAAAAGTTTGAGTACCCCTGATATACAGTATTGATTGTCCTTCCTCCTTATCTTCCAAACATTTGGACGCAGACTTCCATTTCCCCATAACGATGTTGTTTAACAACCGGCGTAAACGGAGCTTTGTGCGCTATCAAGCAGTGAGCGTGCGATGTCCTGTTCAGATGACGTCACATCAAACGGGATGCCATCAATAAACTACACAGAATCACACTACACACCTACGCAATGATTACATTCAGGCAGA